ATAACTCATTATGGTTTTGATTTGTGTATCCCTGATGGTTAATGACAGTGAGCACCTTTTTCTATATCTATTGGCCATTCCTATTCTTCTTTGGAGAAGCACTTATTCAATCTTTAGCCCATTTTTATTCCTACCTATGTAATTAAGTATTTTTTGCTGTGCTGGTGCTCAAACCTAGGGCCTTGCACATGCTTGGCAAATGCTTTACCACTGAGCTATATCGTCAGCTCATAGCTCATTTTTAAATTGGATTATTGGGCTTTTTAAGAAACTACTGAGTTGTGGGAGCTATAAATTATCTGTTAAGAATTTTTTTTTGTGGTGGTGCTGGGGATGGAACCTAGGGCCTTACACAGGCTAAGCAAGTGTTCTTTCTACCATTGAGCTACACTCCCCAAGTGACTTTATGTATTGTTATTTGAACACGTTTTAAAAATGAAGTCTTTTTAAAATGTGCTTTGGGTACTAAATGCAAGGTTAAGGAAAATAACATGTTGTACTTGGAACTCTTACTTGGGGGACCAGCTGTCCACAGTTATTAAGGAAGAGGAAAGGAGCCTGGTGTGAGTTATAATTAAAGAAATCATATCATCATTTTGATACACTGCAAGAACTTCCGAGCCAGTCTTTTGGCTGCTGGTGTTGACTGTCTCCCATCTGCCTCTATTCACAGTCAAGGTGATCTTTCCAGAATGTGCCTCCAATCATGTCACTGCCCTGCTTAAAATACTTCTGCTGACGCTTAGTCAGACACAGCTTTCTGGCTTCTGGGACAGGACCACTGTGATAGTCAGCTTCATGTTCCTAGTACGTAGTTTGTGTGCCCTTCATTCGTGCTTCACTGGGACCATGGCAGTGGGGTTAGGGGAGGAGCTGGATCTGAGAAACAGTAGCAGGTAGAGTTACCTGGATATGGTGAGAGAGGATACCTTAGTCCATTTGTGCTACTGTAGTGGAATACCTGAGACTGGGTAACTTCTACAGAACAGAAATTTATTTCTTGTGGTTCTGGAAGGTGGGAAGTCCAAGATCAAGGTCTCAGCACCTGGTGAGGGGCTTGGTGCTATATCATAACGTGGCAGAAGGTGGAAAGGGGTGAACCTTGTTCCACAAGCCCCTTTGGTAGTGGCATTAATCCATTCAAGAGCTTAACACCTATGACCTGAACATCTCCCACTCCGCCCCACTTCCCAACACTATCCCGTTAGGAATTACATTTCCAGTACATGAATTTTGGGGAACACATTCCAGCTACGGCAGAGGGTGAGCTGATTCCACGCATCGAAGTAAGGAGTGTGGATACAGTAGATGTGGGAAAAGATGAGTTCAGTGTGAGGTCACTGTCGAACATCACACTGAGGGCTTCCTGCGTGCCTGGCCTTGCCTGAGTACTATAGGACCTGCAAAGGAAGTATCAGACACAATCTTTACAGAGATGAGAAGAGATGTAGCATTATGAAGTTAGAGATTCGCAACAGGAGAGGGGCAAGAGAAGGATTATCACCAGTGCTACGTTCTGGAAGTGGAACAGTAGAAGTGTCAGTTAATAGCTGAATGAAATTCCCCCCGCTCCATGAAAGGCCCAATAAAAGTAATGACAGATAAACACTCTTTTCATTGTTTTGGACCTTAAATATTTAATTAATGGGTGACATTGTTAGAACCTAATTTGAGGCTACACAAAAACATCAGAAGTTTGACCTTATCCTAGTTTGTCTCAGATTGATTTTGTCTTTCCATGTGTCTTTTGTCTCTTAGCAATCTGGTTATGAATCATTGAAATTCTTTTTTGATTCCTTTGGACCATATGGAAATTACGTGTTTTTCTTCTATTGCTTTCTAGTGCTTGCTTTCTTCTAAAGTGTTAATCCGGATGTCTTTTTAAGCTGCCCTTGTCTGCCTTCCTAATATAGGCAAGGTTCTGGGGAAAATAAACAAGAGGGGTGCTGCTTTCTTTCTGGAATGGATTCCAATCTCTGCTTATCGCAGAGATTTCCTATGTGAATTAAGAAGAATCCACCATGTTGATGTCCAGCCAATTTCCAGCTCATCTGATTTTGTGATCCTCCTAGAGTGACTTACATGCTACCAGGGAGGCAGCGATGTGACTCCCTGCTGGTTCCAACACTGCTTCCCAGGAAGTGCACTCTGCTGACTTGGCTCCCCACCAGGGCGCCTCTGCCAGCTACTGCTGTCCACGCTGCTTGGGAAGTGCTTTCCCAGGCACACACAGACTCTCACTGAGAATCACCTGCAGCACTGGATTCACTGCTGAAGTTCCAGACGCTGTTCCAAAGCCCTGAACCCTTTGCTCCTGTAAGGAGTTTAGAAAGCCTTCCAAAGGAGCGGTAGGTGGGAAAAGATGCTGATACTGATATGTGATGCTTCCCCAGTGTTTTGCATTGCTGTACAGTATACCACAGGCTTAGTGATTTATAAAGAAAAGACTTTTTTCTTACAGCTCTGGAGTTTGGGTGGCCCGTGGTCAAGGGGCCCGCACTTGATGAGGGCTTTCATGCTGTTCGATCTCACAGGACAGCACGGTGCATAAATGTAGGAGCAAAAGGGGTGGGGGGTGAAGGAGGGTGTATTAGTCACTTTCCCTTCACGGAGGCAAAATGGCAGATACCTGCAATTTAAAGAAGAAGCGGTTTATTACGGCTCACTGTTGCCGAAGATTCAGTCCATGGTCAGTTGGCACCATGGCAGAAATGACGTGGTGGAGGGAAGTTGCTCAGCCCATGGCAGTCAGAAAGCAGAGACAGAAGAGAGGAGCTGGAGACAAGGATACACTCTTGCAGGTTACACTTCCACCTCCAACCAGGCCAGGCCCCACCTGCCACAGCACATTTAGCTGCTGAACTATCAGTGGATGAATCCATGGATGAGTAGAGCACCCCCATGGTCCAGTCACCTTCCAAACACACAAGACTTTGGGGGAATATTTTAATTCTAAACCATAATGTAGGGGAAAAGGGTTGTAGTCACTCTCTTATCCAGAGCCCATTCCCCTGACAAGCAGCATAGCCCATGCATGAGGCAGAAGCTGCATGGCCTAATCACCTCTTAAAGGTCCCACCCCTTAGCAAGGTGCACTGGGGAGTATGTTTCCAGTGCTTGAGCTCTGGGGGACACATTCAGACCATAACACTAGGTAATGCCTGCAAATCCCTCAGTTCTTTTAGGCACCTTGCAAATCAAAAAATGGAGCACAAATGCATCAAGGTTTTCCTTGTTCTTCCCCAGGAAGCAGAACCTGAGCCCTTTCTGCAGGCACTGGTTGGAAGGCTAGCAGGGTTGTTGGCATTTTCTTTGAACTTAGTTTTCTTGGGCCTAAGGGTATAATGCGGCAGGGAGCCTCTATGCTCATGACAGCTTGTGCCTTAGGTCTCTCCCATAGCGACAGCTCATCTGTTCATGTCTTCCAAAAGTGCCTGTCTCTCATGGGGGATGTGTCTTCCTCTGACAATCTCCCAAGCTTCTTGGAACTCTGGTGCATCTAACTCTGCAGCTGCACCAGTCTGGCCATCGGTCAGTGTGGCAGTGGTACCCACCCCTCCTCTCCGGCCTCATTTCAGTAGCTTCACACAGTGAAGGTTTATTCGTCATATATACCAAGTTTTTTGTAGGTTGTAGATTGTTCTCTAGCTTGTATCTGTAATACCTGAAACATACACCTTACACCTGTATTAGTTTCCTAGGGCTGCCAAGGCCAGATACCACAAGCTAGTTGGTTTAAACACAAGTTTATTCCCTCATGGCTCTTGGGCTAGAAGTCTAAAATTAAGGTGTTGGCAGGACATATTTTCCCCGAAGTCTATAGGGAAGAATCCTTTCTTGTTCTTTTCCAGCTTTCAGTGGCTGCCAGCAATCCTTGGCACTCCTTGCTTGTCTACACATTAGGCTCTGTCTCCACACCAGCTTCCCATAACTGTCATCCCGTGTCTCTGATTTCCATCTTAATGGTCTTACCTCAGAAGTGATGCATGATAGTTTTGGTCACAGCCCACTGGCCTGAATATGGCCCAACATAACTATAAGGGAGGTTGGTAAATTCAGGAGCGCTACAGGTATTTGATGAACATCATCTGTGAAATCCCTATGAAACTCTTTTCCCTTAGTCCTAGAAGGCTCCAGGGCACACATGAGGCTGAGTAGTTATTGAATAGTATGATGTGTCATCAGGAAACACCACTAGACTTGGAAAACTGCTCAAAGAAAGAAGGAAAACAGTTTAGATAATTTTGTAAAGCCATCTTACTTTTATTTGGTTCTTCAGTTTATTTTAATCCAGAGGTCATAAAATGGTGGTCAGTAGATTGCATCTGATCCATAGATGTGTGTGTGTGTGTGTGTGTGTGTGTGTGTGTATGTGTGTGTGTTTGTCCCACACAGTGTTTAAGAAGTATGAACAAGCATCTAGATAGCAAGTTTTCCTTGTACAACTGGAAGCTCCAACAATATACAAGCCCATTTCCACAGAAAACCAGTAATAAGAACTGTTTTCCACTGACAATCCTATCTACGCAGTTCGCCATTCTCCGTAGTGTCACCAAGACTGAGGTTGAGTGTCATGTCTCATGTGTCTTTGTGCATGTCTGATAGAGATCTTTTTCCTTTTATATGTATATGGACCATTTTTCCTCACTTTGCCTGACTGGCCCTTCAAAGCATTTGTGTTTATAACCTCGATTTCCAGCAAAACCTACATTGTCATATATTTTATAACATCCTGGTGACTTTGAAGCACTACCCAAAAGCATTAGATTGAACTCAGGACTCAGATTGATTCTAGCTATAGCCATCGGCAGTAGTAGTGATGCAAGGTGAGTGGTTGACAAAGGCCTGGAAATACCTACCTATGGACTATACCTATGGGGCAGTAAAGATTTTCAGTTGTGACAGTTGTATAAATCTGAATGTAAAGTTATGCCCGTTGACTTATTTTCAAGTAATTTCTTACTAATAGACCTTTTTTGTGCCTTTTCTCCCATACGTAGACCATTGGAACGATCCAGTGAAGATGTGGATATAATCTTCACCCGACTGAAAGAAGTTAAAGCTTTTGAGAAATTTCACCCAAACCTCCTTCATCAGATTTGTTTATGCGGTTATTACGAGAACCTGGAAAAAGGAATAACATGTAAGACATGCACCTCCAGGGGCATCTTTTTCTGGGTGGTTGGTGCGCATTTGTGGCCACCCTAGGGGGATGGACAGCGCATGGAGTATGTATGTGCCAGTGTTCGGATTTCAGTTAAAGTAAGCTGGACATGTCCCTCTCATCTGTTTATTTAGTTCCCTTGGGAGTTCCCTTAACTTTTTTGTTCACAGCATGTAAGTAGTTTGTCCAGGGCAGCCTACTTTGCAGAGGGAGCTAGAAGGATGTACTGACCCATGCCTTTGGTATTTCCAGAGAAATTCAAATAATTACCTCCTTTAATCCAAGAAATACATGAGCAATAGGATAGTAAATAAAGACAACAGCTTTCTTAGGTAATGCTAGTAGTAATAACCTCAGTAATAACTCCAGGTGGGAATAGGGGAAAAGAGAATACAATGATAGGGTGACAGTTGCATTTTTTAAAAAGTATTTTTAATTAAAAAGTAATATGCCTTCATCTGTTGGTACATTTTGTGCTGCAGCGACAGAAAACTCGCATCCAACTGCCTTGAGTAATCAGTTGCTCACACAACAAAGCTAAAACCAATTACTCCTACACAAGAAGTCCTGAGGTATGATGGTACCCTGGCTGGTTAATGAAGTGGCCCAATTGTTAAGTTCCCAGGTCCTTCCTGTTTTTCTTTTTTCCTTTTCTGTGCATCCTTAGATGTTGGCTTTTGTCCTCAGGCTTGTCACAAATGGTCCTCAGTGACAGCAGTTGAAGGCGTTTCATGTTGGTAGAAAATGCCCTGCCAGGCTGCTGCTTCTTGTGTCCCTTTCACAAGTTTCCTAACAGACTTTCTGTACTGCCTCACTTGCCTGAATTGAGTCATATGCTCCTGTCTGAATCAATCCTGGCAGAGAGAACTGGATGACCAAGCCTGATTCAGAACAGTCCTCATCACCCCAGTGGAGCTGGGGAAGGAACTCACACACTCAGAGGACTTGGTCCTATGAACGGGGTGGAAATTTATAGAAAATCTGGTGCAGTTAGCTAAGGCCCATTCAAGGCCCTGGGCGGGAAAGCAACAGAGATGGTCAGAGCATTAGAAAAATCTACATAAAAATCACCTACAATTTCCAAACCCAGCGATTACTATGAACATTTTATATGCATCCTTCAAGGTGCCTTCCCCCATGTACATACACAAATACTGGCACATTTCTGTTTTTAAAAACCATATATACCTATGAACCATTTTCAAGTCAATGTCTATTTCTTTGTGATATCAAAAACTTCATTCTTTCAGGGGACGAGGCTGTGAAGAAGTCAAAAGAATTAAGATGTGTTATGGACCAACTCCCTGCATGAATAATGAGTGTAATCATTGTGTACTGTAAATGTGTACTGATAAAAATTAAAAACAAAAAAGTGAATCTTCTGCGATAGATGGTATGCATTTGACTGGCAAATGTTAAACTTTATGAGCACCAAGTTGTTCAGAGCCTGACTCCAAAGTGAGTCTGTAACAGAGGCGTGGAGCCGCAGTTGCGGGAGAGGCCAGCTGTAAACCCATCCAGCGTGCCCATAGGCAGAGTGTTGCACAGGTGGGATGCTGTCGTCGTCTTTGGCCTTTCCACATCGTGTCATGGGGAGTCTGGAGAGGCTGTTGTCATTAACTGTGGCTCCTGGAAGCTCACTTTTATGCACTCCGCCCGGCTCTCACGAAACTCAGGGGCCCCACTGAGTTGTCCTGTGATTTTTCACCAAGTCACTTGGTCTGTGACTCTACTTGTGAACAGAGGTTGAAGACATCAGATCATTCTACCTAGTAATTTAGTTAAGGCATTTTAAAAGGCAGTTGGTCTGTATGAAACTTTTGGACCAGTGTTTCAGAATTAATTTCCAAAGTCTGGTCTTAAAATGATATGAGAACTAAGGCTTTACCAAAATATCTAAATATTTTCTCTCTGATATCAAAATCTTAGTGCAAAATTAGGTGCAGAAATTTCTGATAAGAGTCATTTCCTGAACAGAGCAAACTTATAAAGTTAACAAGAAAGGACAAAGATAATACAGTACTCAAACCTTTCAATAAAGTAGATTTAAAAAATTGTTTACGAGCTTAAAAGGAAACATGCTATTAATATAGTTTTTTAATCTAAAAAACACACTGCTTTTAATATAGTTTTAGGAAATTGAGTCTGTTGGAGTCAAATGACTTTGTTTTTGTGTACCCCACCCAGAGTCATAATTTTCTAAGAATCACAATACATTGAAATGTATTTAAGATAAATCCCACAGAATACCAGTCACTTCAAAGGAGTCAAAGGATGCTATAGATAGGGTTATCATCTCTCTGTAAAGCTCTGCAGATATGGAAAAGTTTTAATAGAGTTCCACTTCATAGTAGGACATGGCTTTGTTTTTGTTTTTTGAGACGGGATTTTGTTACGCGGTTCAGGCTGGCTTTGAACTCACTTTGTAGCCTTTGAACTCCCATCTCCCATCAATCCTCCTGCCTCAGCCTCCTGAGTACTGGGATTATAGGCGTGTGCCATTCCCCTCGGCCTTTTGTTGATAGATGAGATAAAGAAAAAACACTGTGGGAACAGATAGCAGAAGGGTGGCAGGCTCAGTTAGATCCAAGTCATGCTTGTAAGAACCAGTGAAAAGTGATCAGGTTGTACAGTAAAACCAACCTATACTTGGTATATTCACATCACTGCTTCCTTTTCAGTATTTCGCCAGGGTGACATTGGAACAAACTGGTATGCTGTCCTGGCAGGATCTTTGGATGTTAAAGTGTCTGAGACCAGCAGTCACCAGGTAATCTACGCTATTCTTTTGAACATTAAATAGGATTTATTATTATTTTTAAAAGATACATTACCCCCATGTCTTTTATGCTGTCAGAATCACATATTCGAATCCATTTCCTCTTCCCTATAGTAAGGAGCTCAGCGTTTGCTGAGTTCTTTGATCACGAATGTCCTCCGCGGGAGTGGGCAGCAGGCGTGGGAACATACAGTGCTTGCAACATACAGTCCTTTGGGAACCGCAGACAACTCAGTTGCAGCATCATGAACTGAGGTGTGAGCTCCAGGGAAGGAGAAGCAACAGGTCTTCCAGTCTCCCTTCCTAATCCTTCCACTCTCTTCTGTCCTGACTTCACTTCCCTGTAGAAGTGATCCCCATACTGACCTTTTAGGAGCGCCAGGGATGCCCGGGAAAGATAGCTCCCTAAATCTCTCACTGTTTCTCTATCTTACCTTCTCAGAAGTAGGAGAGTGGTAACACTACTTTTCTTCTAAAGTGCAGCGTCAGGCTTCCTCATCCTCGTTAGGCATCTCCCCCTAGTGGATACAACTTACAATCCTTTTCACGGTATTTGTGAGTCTATGCTGCATGCAGTCTTGGGTACAGAGGTTGGAAATTCAGGGAAATTCTGTGTTGTGGCCCGGAAGTAGAATTCTTTCTGTGGGAAATCTCAACGGAAAACCTCTACGCTTTTTAAACCTTGAGCTGATGGGATGAGGTCCACACACTTTATGAAAGATAATCCTTATTTAAAGTCTTCTGATTGTAAATGTTCATCAAACCTAAAAAAGACTTCAGCAGCAACATCTAGACTAATATTTGACCAAACAACTGGTCACCGTAGTGCGGCCAAGGTGGCTCTTGGAGAACAGAAGCAACCCTTGATCATCCATCGCGGAGCATCACCAGGTGCCCTGCTCTGCCCCGGGGCTGCCTGAGCGCACGATTCAGTCTCAGGGCTGCCGGTGCTTCTGGACCCTGGGGCTTGGTCGGATGGGGAGCAGCTCTGCCAGGGCCACAGAGTGGAGTTCAGGGCTGACACACTCCACGTTGCATGTGCTTCCTGCTGCTCCCACCTGAAAAAGGAAAGCAGGAGAGGGGTTAGTGATGAAAGGGAAAGAACAGGTACAGGACAGTGAGAGGGAGCTGAGGAAAGAGCAGCCTCAGCAGGGAGCCCTTACAAGACGGCAGGACAGTTTCATGCTAGCCTCGCCTCCGGCCTCCAGGTTCTTTCTTCAGGTTCCCCCTGCGCTCCGTGTCTGCCTTCTCGTCTGAGTCGGAAGGAACGTGGCAACGAGTTCCCACGCTGGTCCCCGTGCTTCAGTCTGTGCGGGGCTGCACCTGCTTCCCGACCCAGAACAGCGAGTCCGGAGCAGGGGCCGCGGGTGCCCTCTACCGGCAGCCTCGCGCGGAGCTCGCTGCGTCCTCCTCCCTTGGCGAGCTCAGGCGAACTCATTTCGTGGAGGGTGTTCCACAAACTGCCCACGGCTACACGACCATAGGGTGACGGCCAGGTCTTCGTGGCTGTGGAGTCCTCGTGTGCCATCCAGAGGGAGGTGGAAGGGGAGGAACAGAGGTGATGAGGCCTGGGCCATTTAGAATATCAGAAGCGACTTCTCTCCCCACCCTCCTGCATGACTGCCCACGCCCCTGCGCGCGGGTGTTCGCGCCCCCTGCCTTAGACGCAGGGGTGCAGTTACACGAGGGTGCCCGTCCCCCCCGAGGGCTTCCGGCTGGAGGGCGGGACACAGGGACAGCAGGTGCGCGATGGGGTTGCGGGTGGGGCGGTGGGAGAAGGCAGGACCCCGGCTTGGGTGAAGAGGTGGGCGGGGTGCCACTCATGAAACAGGGTACGGGAGAAGGGAACCTTCCCAGATTCCTGTGCTGGTTTTCTATGCGATACGTATATTTATCAGGTATCACAGATTTGATGGAATGTTTTTCCTGAAAAAAACAAACAAAAAAACTACCTTAGTATGATGGTAGGAAGATATAACTCTCTATAGTTTTCAAAAATACATGTGACATAAATATTCTGACCCAAATTTGTATTACCTGATTGCACTTTCAAGATATCACTTTTTCTCCTTTCCTGTCATTCATATACATATATAATATATATTTATTTATGTTTTTTAGCATTTTTGCTTTCTAGGTTAAAAAACATAGCTCCCTCCCTTCTGTGTGGTTGGCTGGGTGAATTCTTTGCACCCGAGGGTGACGGTCGCTTTTCACTGGTGACCTGCCACGAGCACCTGGTGGGAGCTCTCCTCGCTCACGAGACGTTTTGCCAGCGTTCTTTGCGCTTTCGTTGAGCCCACCCGGGAGGCGGGCCCCTGTGCCGATGCCGTGCTCTGCTCACAGAGCGGGGGGTGGTCTGCTCACGATGGCGGCAGAAAGCCGCAGAGCCGGACATCCTTGTGATTCCTCAGCATCCCAGTGACCCAGCCCGGCCATCCTCAGCCTTCTGAGCCTGTGGCCCTTTGCCGGGGTGTTGGCATGCGGTTCACCCAGCATCGGGGTAGTGATGCGGATTTGTCTTTGCTCATGGGATCACTGATGTCTGAGATTATCACAAAGCTGTTGATTATGCAGCGAGGACTATTACAGTACGAATACTCTGATGTGGTCCCCTCAACTTCAGGCCCTTCCTTGGGAGGGGATGGGAGGAAAAGGCCGCTGCGCTTCATGGGAGAGTGGGCCTCCCAGTGCTGCCTGGGGTCAGTGCTGCTGGTCACCGTAGACGCAGCTGGGGCAGCAGGAACCGTAGCCTGAGGCTCCCCTGTGGCTCCTCCTGGCCCCGGTGTGACCGTCTCTGAGCCGCACAGTCCTGCACAGCGCTCAGCCGCTCCTCTGTCTCGCTCACACTTACACCTGCCCTGCAGGGCCTGGGACACACCGCGTCTGCATCCCTGCTGTCCTCTGGCTGAGTGGCCCCAAGCCGAGGCTTTGAGGGTGCCCTGGAGCGGGGAGACAAAGCCCTGGATGGGAAGGATGCGGACTCTGCTTCCTTCCTGTTTACTGCTCTGAAACCATGTTTGTCCTAAGAATCCTGGGAAATGCGGAGATTATTCGGATCCTGTTATGTTGAGGAACTTTCACAGTCTTGCAAATCCTTGTGCACATCTGCCTCTATATTATATGTCTTCCGCTGCTCAGAGATGCTCTTGTCACTTGGTGTAATTGTCAGAGGCATCTCTACTAGCATCTCAGCCTTCGTGTTCTGTAAATTTCCTGGAGTCACATAAAAAAGAATTGGGAAAGCATCAACAGACCAAAGAACAACTAGGATAAGAGCCGGGCACAGTGGCGCACGCCTGCTAACCAAGCACTGAGAGGCTGAGGCAGGAGGATCGTTGCAAGTTCAAAGCCAGCCTGGGCTACGTAGTGAGTTCAAGGCCAACCTGAAGTACAAGGTGAGATCCTGTCTCCAAAACTAAAATAAGTAGGAAAGATGTACAGACTAGGATGAGTGAGTGAGTGAGTGAGTGAGTGAGGATCGCCTGCACAGTGATGGACCACTTACGGGCAGCTGCGATGCCAACGCGCCACCCCCTGCTTCCCAAGCTCCTGTTCTAAGGGGCTCTAAGATTCACGGCAAAAAACAAAAGCAAGAACCAGAATCTGTGGGAAGAACAGTGTTTATGTCACTGTGTTCGACCCCTATGAGGAGTTTTCTGGTCTCAGCAAACACGGTGGGGCACACAGCCTCAGCACCTGTGAGGACCCCACAGGATGGGGTAATGGCTGCATGCTGCAAAATGGTGGGGCCTGGCGAGGGCTCGCAGGACTGTTCTCCCTACCCTCAGGCATTGTAGGACACTCAGCCAAGGATCTGCCTGCAGACCGCCTCCCCGCCCAGAGGAGCCCAGCCTGCCTCGCCCGTTCACCTGCATTTCCAGTGGAAACGGGGATCCTGTCAAGGATTAATCCTTCCGCTTCCCCAGTGACACCAGTCACATCCCTCAGTCGCTCACCTAAGTTTAAGACACAGATAACGCTGCGGGTCCCTGCCGTGGAACTCTCGTGCTCAGGCACCTCCCCGGTCTTGGCGCCTGTATAAGTGGCCTAAGTATTCCCACTTAAATGAATATTATGGATATTTCTCTCATTAGTGTTTTACTGGTTTAGGATTAGAAATGAATATTGGGACAAGTTATAAAAATGAATAATACACTTAAAAGGCATAAATAGGTTTATAAACTTCACTGTATCAGACAGTACCACCCAACTGTGTGCATGTGTGTTCATGTGTATTACAGAGAGAGAAAGGAGGGAGAAAGAGTCCTGTTCTTCTTTGTAGATTTTATAGATTAGCAGACCTTTTGTCGTAAGAACTATCTGAATCCTAGAAATATATATGGTTTTAATTTTTTACAACAAAAATAAGGTCTAATGTTTTTTCCAGCCATTCAAAAGAATTTCTGAGGGATAACAGAATCTCATGCTGCAAGCGTGAAGGAGTTTATTAATTCTTTAAAACTTGTTCCTTTCAGTAGCATGTTTATAGGAAGTGTTACATTTATTCAGTGGGAATGCAGCTGTTACATTCAGACCTCCTCTGAGTCCTCCCACCACCTTAATTAGCTATGGGTAGGTACACTTAGGTTCACTGTAAATCCAAGATAACAGTTCCTACTTTAAATGAGTTAATATGTATTAAGCACTTAGTATAAAACTTGGGACAGAGCAGTATTCCAGTGCCTTTCATATGACCATTTTGACTGGAGAGCTGCTGGTTGCAATACCACCATTCTATCACAAGAGGGCAGTGTTAGAATAGAAAAAGCAGGAAATGTACTTGGTCTTAGAAACCGCAGGAAGTTTAACAATGTTGCTCAGCCATTTCCTAGGACCCGGGAGTCTGGGCTGCCTTGGTCTTAATTCCATCCCCTCATCTGTGATGTGATATTACCTGGCAAATTTTAGGCCAGTTCTGGGAAAAGATCTCTTTACTTATTTAGGTTTTCCCCCTGAAATAAAACGTGCTTTGTTTGTCCTTTGTTGTA